ATATCATAATATTGGTAGTCAGGGTTATTTTAATGACCCAAATCAAGTAAAATGTGTCTTACTCGAGTACTTTTAGCATGCAAAAGTCAAATTATATAAATGCAGTTTCCAACAACAAAATTTTGTCGTTGAAATTGACCAGTGGGTGGTGAGAAAAAAATTTAATGTCAAGTTTTATATATATATATATATATATATATATATATATATATATATAAGAAGTTAAACAAGTTGTTTTTATTTACACACATTCTTTTATTAAAATAGGGTATACATAATTGGGTTTTATATTTTTTGGCTCAATAATTATAACTTTTTAGTCTACTCATTTTGATGTAAACATAATAGTACAAAAAGAAGAGTCATGTATTGTAAAACAGATATTTATAAAAAATCCATAGTGGAATGGAACATAACAACCATGGTTTCTGCAGGTGTCAGTCACTATTTCAAATGTATGACTTTTAAGTATTTTTTTTATTAATAAAATTTCAGTCTTATACAGGACTACATGCTAAGGATGTTTTAATTGTTGTTCCCAAACTTTTCAGCCCCCAAGCCTCAAAATAACATTGCCTGTGACTCGTGACCCCAACATTCCTCAGAGGTGGTTATAAATATACAAATTTTGCACACACAACAATTGACCTATATAAACATGTGCATATTACACAAAAAAGTGCAACAGACTTAACAATCATAGGCTTTATATAATGATTTATTTATTTGTTTAATTTATTATTAACTTCACCTCAATGAGACTGGTGGACAGCATGTTTTCAGCACAAGTCAATTGGTTTAATTTTGGAGATCATCCTCAATGTTCAGTTGTGGCCTGTGTTTATTTTCAATGCATTTGCTTCCTATAAAGGAGCCAGAAAGTTTAACTTGGTGCTACAAAAATCAGTCTGTGTTGTTAATCTAACATACTATTCAATCTAATGCACAATCCTATGACAAAAAATGAAAGGATGAGGTCTTTTTTTGCATGTTGTTGCTTTTTATGTAACTATTTACTATTTTTATTTACTGTGGGTTATGGGTAAATATTAATTAATACTATTTGATTTAAATACTGCATTAACTAGTCAGATGTCATCATAACCACACTTTTGATGTACTAAAAATGTTTCCTAAAAAATTGCAAGAACAAAAATTAAAACAAGACTAATTTTTAAAATACAAATTTATTACATCGTATACAATATCATTAGGAGAAAATAGCAATCTGTTAACGTTTTAAAGTAAAAAAAAAAAAACTGTAGCCTACTCTCATTCATTAGACAGAAAACAAACTGGCCAGCACATGCAAATGCCCTCAGTCACAATTTGGCCATTTTAATAAAATAATAATAATAAAAAAAAACAATAATTATAAATTCTGCAGAATTTATCTGGAAAAAAATACATTTGAAAATTCCTGGATATCAACAATAGCCAAAATATTTTCAAATTAATTTAATATGGTCTGATTCTGGTGCTCCACACCTTTTTATTGCTCATTTTTATTTTAGAAATAGATTAGTGAACAAGGAGACCACAATTAAATAGAATGTAAATATTAGAGTAGGGTACTCTGCAACAAATAAGGCAGGGATAATAAGACAAAAAATCTGAAGAAATACATTTTAGAACTCAGATTAAGTAATTTATTTCAGACAAATAGTTATTGAAATTCAAAATACACCACTCCCGTTTTAAAAAGGGCATACTTTAAAGTGCTGTGTGCATTATACATGGTTTCCTGACTGCCAATTGGTTACTGTTATATAAGAAAGCTACTGCACACAGACAGACTCTCTTATACAGCGCCTTTGCACGTCACAGAAGTTAGCTGTTTCATCATCCTAGGGGTTTTGATAGAATACGAATTGGTAGAGTAAAATATTTCAATGCAATTAAATAAACATAATTGATGTAATATATCAATATTTTAACCCACGGAATAAAAAAAAAAAACACAGCCCACAGCAAGTGGTTAAAACTAGCCCCATTCTGCAGGAAACTGCAGGCTTGTTAACCCTGGTACAGCTCTTGATTTACACTTCAATAACCTTTTTTTTTTTTAAATTTTGTTACTTTCTTAAGTTATCAGCAAAATTGTTGACATTTATTTTGATTGTACTTCTATTCTTTTGTTACAGTTAATTTTTTCTAGAACTTTAGTTTTTTAATATGTATTCCCTTTTTGATTGATATTTTTGCCTCTCATGTTGCCCTATCTTTCTGTGTGTCTGTTTTGTTGGTTCCTGAGTAATCCCTGACAACGGATTCTTCAGTTCTGACAGACCTTCTGGTGCTTCACGAGTTACCTTTTCCAATGTGAAGCCTGTGGTTCCTTGAGCTGCTACCTAGATTGGAGCTCCCACTTTCTTGACCAGCCAGTTTTCCTATATGTGCCCTGCCCTATTGTGTCTTCCTGCCTCATCCTCTTGTGTTCCTGTTTTGTAAATAAACTGTACCCTGTTCATACTGCTTCTGGGTCCTCCCTTAAAAAGCAGTGACAGACAACATTCATTTTTGAAAGGTAAGACATCTGTTTTAAAAATAAGTCAGATCTAAAATCTAATTAAAATGTTTGATTGCTCCTGTTTCACTTTTTGTAGTGAACCTTTGTAGTAGCATTTTAGAAATAAACATGATTAAGGTTTTGCATTATTTTCACACCGTTTCTCTTGACCAGCGAATCAGAGTTGTCAGCTGGACAGTGCTTTTCTCCATTTTCAGAGCTGGTGTGTCAAATCAAGTCTAATAATGAAAAAAAGAACTCATATGTGCAAAAAGTGTGGAGCAATGATTGGACTTTCCATTCTGTGCACGGGACAGGCTTTAAACTCATATTTTTTTGAGACGTTGACAAAGGGCTCTGTTTTTAATGGTCCATGCACAAAATGGAAAGCGCAGGGCGCAAACGCATTCAGGACGTGTCAGAATCCACTTTTGCTAATTTAAGGACGGGAAAACCCGCTTTGCGCCGTGGCGCATGGTCTAAAAGGGTTGAGTTTATTTTCTTAGTCAGTTATAGGTGTGTTTTGAGAATAAACCAATCAGAGTCTCATCTCCCATTACCTTTAAGAGCCAGCTGAGTCGCACCATAAGCACATTTGCTATTTACAGGACGTAAGGTAAGTGTAAGTGAAAAAACTGAGCATTTCACAAGCAAACAGTTAACAGTTTTTTTGACAGAAAACAGTTGAACAGAGCATCTACCGCGTGAGAATGAGAGATAAATTATCTACTTTCACTTAAGCTCTCGTAGATAGGGAAACCTTTATGCACAGACATCAATTAGCCTATAAATAATTAATTTTGTTTGTTAAGCGCAAAGATTTGTTTCAAAACTATTTCTAAATTTAGTTCTAATTTCCAGAAAATGAATAAATGAACAATAATAACGAAGTGTGTTCAAAAACCTGAGTTATATCCTAAAACACATGCTGTGCCCCATATGGTCTAAAACCTGACAGGTGGGCAAATCTAAGCTTGTTTTTAATAAAACAAATATAAATATGGATATAATAAATAATACTGCTAATAATAATATTATACAAAAGCAAATTGAACTGAAAAAGCCTCCCGAGATGGAGGCATAAAAGCAGTGGTTTTTCATATTTATGTAGGCTAGAAAATAATATGTTTTGTAATATTTTAATCCATTATATTTATATCCTATATATTCTTATTATATCCTTAATATTTAAAATTTTATATGTAAAGATATTTGCGTATTGCTCTACATCTTGTGTGTTAGGCTATTAAGCAGTGTGTAAGCGAGGCGCAACTCTGAGCTGGAGTTTAGACTGGGTTTGTTTTGGTCTAATGAAAAATCTATTATAGTTTCTCAAAATAGCAACGCGCCAGCAGTGTGCCTCAGAACGCCTTCTTTTTTAGACTACAACACCTATGTGCGCACATGAGCGCAAATGCATTTGCTATTTAAACAACGTGGTGCAAAACAGCAAAACGGCACTTGCGTCAAGCTGAAACTAGCAAATAACATTTGCAACGCGCCTTGCGCCGCATTGTTCCGGGTGTATGATAGGGCCCTAAAGGGTGCTGTTAAACGTCAGTATTCAGGGTACCCCTGGGATCCTCCAAATGAAATTCAAGGCTTTTTAAGACCATTTCAAATGAAATTCAATGCCAACTTCGTACTCATTCCGACAGAAGTATAAGGGGAAAATGGCAAACCTGTATAAATTGTGAACTCTAGAAAATAATTATATATAAGTGAGCTACTGGAATTAAATAATACATTTTATTTTAACTATCAGTTATATTCAATCGTCGTCCACCCTGTAGCGAATATGAAGGTCCAACTGCTTACTTTTCGTCATCTTATTGAGACTCTTGTCAAACATGACCACAATCCCATTGGCCTTATTTACCTGGTCAGTCAGTTCTTTAGTTATAAAAGGAGCTGATACAAATTTAGTAATATATGCAGTTTTGTTGCTTCCACATGAGAATGTAGCTGCAACCTCAGAGTCAGCAAACATGGTTTTGAAGTTCTCATTCGATGTGTAAGAGTGGTGCTCAGAGATTGTTTTAAAGACCTACATCACCTCTGCCCGCAAAGTTGTTGTTAAGCCACAGTAAGGATAGGATGTTCCTTGGCTGTGGTGGCAATGCTTCCAATGTAGAAATTTCTTCATTACTGATAGCCAACCTGTTTCAGTAATCGAAGAGGTCTCCGGTGCACAGAACTGCACAATAGCTGGCTGGAGCTGACGAGCAGTACTACACACGGTGTGTTTGGCACTCCTCATATGGGAGTCTAGAGCCCACATCGTCGCTAGCTTAAAAGATTTCTGGCACCAACAGCAGTAGGCGTTGTGGTCATTTCCAGTCACAGGCTTGACTTAAACGTAATTTGGATTTCTTGGCCACAACAGATAAAACCGACACTTTCCCATTTTAGCTGACAAACTAGGCTAGCAACAATCTTGTTCTGTACCTCACTTGTCTAGTAACCATAGTAACGGGTGCTCACGCTTTCGCACTTTCTGCTATGACGTGCATGAATTTTTAATTAGCCTACATTAGTAACAGTTCATTTTGTTATGGTATGTACTTAATCCTAGGAAAGGCAAAAATAAATGAATAAAATAAGACCTTTTTAATGAAATTAAGGACTTTGTAAACCATATTCAAGGCCTTAATTTGAGATGATCAAATTTAAGACTATTTCAATGCTTTTAGGACCCCGCGGGTACTCTAGTATTAAATCATGTTCATACGCCTTACACTCGTCCCATTTAACATGCAGTATTTTTTTTTTCTCTCCCAAAATAAAATCATTTTCCTAACTTATTTGACTGAGCGAGGATGTTTAGCCTCACCACTGCGGACATGATGCACAATGAGCATTTGTGCATGTCTGGGGGTGGGGGAAGTGAACAGAAATCATAATTACTTTGCTGATTTCATTTCCATTCGAATGTATAATTTTTAACAACAAAATAAATATCTTAACACAAAAAGATGAATTTACCCATCTTATAATTATAAATACAACTGCTGCAGAGGCCACTCATTTGGCATCATGCAAAAGTAGCTTTTTCAGTCTTTATGATGTCAAAGATGTGTGTAGCTGGAGATGATCTGTTCTAGTGCCGTAAAACTGTCCAGAAAATCCTCCTCCGAGATTCCAAACTTTGTATACTGGTGAATATAGGCCCTACAAGAAAACAAGCGCATTTTTATGAAGCAATAAAGTTAGCCAAATTTTGCTATTCAAATGTCTTTCTCACCTTGAAGCAAACATGTTCCAAGCCTTTCTAACTATATTGTCCAGGGGTTTCAGAAGCGACTGGCTGTTACTGACCAAAGTGGCCGACTTCTCATATCCATTGAACGGTATAGGCGAGCTCCATGTGCTGAAACTATTCTCTGCTTTAAGCCACGGCACATATAACAAGGGATCCTTAAATCCATCTGTTGATTGAAGAATTCTTGCTTGTTAGCTTCTCATTCAGGTCACTTATAAAATATCATTTTTCTAAACTAACCTTTACTCATTGTGATAAGCGATATTATTGTCATATTGAGATTATTTTAGGTCACACTTTATTTCGATAGTACGTTAGTTGAATTTAAGTTACATCGCATCTACATGCCAACAATTTCTCATTAGACTATAAGTAGACTGTTGGGTTGGGCTTAGGGTTAGTGTAAGTTGACATGTACTTGCAAAGTTACTTATAGTCAGTTAAATGTCTGTTGAAGGAGAAGTATCAGCAGATATTAAGCAGATAGTCTACTAATACTTTAATGGACTATCAAAATAAATATCCCTCATTATCTCATTTTATGCCACTAATAATATAATTATTATACAGCAGAATAGTAATGTAAATAGTCATAAACATTTTCAAAAGACAAATTATTTAGATCTGTAATTTGATGTTAAAAAGGTACAAGTATGTTAAAAAGGTTAATGTTAAAATTTCCTATATACACACTACTAAATGTCCTATTAGGTAAATGTACAATTAAAAACCTCAACACCGTGTTTAAGGTTATTTGTGAATTTGTAAATATTTATTACAAGACTAAAAATGATTGAGGTCATGTCCATATAAGTCCTAGGTCTATTGATAACCAAACTTTTTCCCATTGACTTCCACTGTATAGAAAAAAAAAACTTCTACTGAAATTGATGGGAACTATTTTAAGAGTAAATAATTTCTTCTAAAAATAAAAAACTATTTCAGCCTCCTGTTTATGTTTAGCTATTTGTCTTAAGACGCAATGAAAAGAAACAATTTATTAATATAAAAGTAAAATTACTTTTTTTTTTTACAAAAGGAGTCTAAGAAAAAAAATCCTGGAATAAATTTCTGATGGTACTGAACATGATGTGTTTATACAAAAGTAATTGAAAGAAGTGTTCCGTAAAGTCTAACCAAGAATGTTCTCCGATTAAAATAATGCATGTAAATGGCTGGAAGTATATTGGAAGTCCACTCGCCTGTAACTGCAGTAGACACGTCTTTCCCTCTAAGTATTAAAAGATTAGCCAGTGACGAATTGAAACTTTTATGCCTGATGTTTGTCACACTCTCTGCTCCAGATAGGACCACTGATGGGACATTCACCGTCCAGTCAATCCCTTTAAGAAAGATTTTTTTAGTTGATAATTGATGAAAGGCTTGTTTCACATACAAAGAAATTACATTTACTCAACGTTTACTCAATCTCAGGTGAAAAAAAGAAGATATATTAAAGAATGTTGGAAACTGGCACAAAAAAGAGAGGATGTCAATGGCCACCAGTTTCCAACATTCTTTAAAATATCTGTTTTCAAGGAAACTTAAACAGGTTTAGAACAAGTAAATAGTAAATGATGAGTTTTTATTTTGGGTAACTATCCCTTAATGTAATATGTAAACCCCGGTCAGATCACATGAATTTGCCACAATTTCGACATGTTTTCCTTGACGTAGGGTGTCGTGACACAAGATTCAATTGCTTCTTCTTGCGTAATGAGACATAGTTCACGATAACCAAGCCCATGCCTGTGACACTTCATGACACCATGGCAGAAAGCATGTTGCATGTTTAATTTTTTTCTCATTCTTCACGATGAGTTCCATATTGTGGGTGAGCAATAAGAGCACATTTTTTCTTGGTTATCTCAATGGGTGCTGCCGTTATTACGATGGCCAGGTAATCAAAAATATAGGTTGCATAATTGAATGGGTGGGTCATATCAGTCATTAGTTATGCAAACTTTAACTACTTTTTCTAAAATATTAAGGGCTTTTTAAGCAATTTTATCTGAAAGACTGGCACAAACATCTTCATTTTCACAAGTTTCTGAATTCTCTCATCCTTCCAATCGAGTTTGATCTTCCGAGAAAATCTGGGAACATGTTCAGTGCTGCAAATACGTTGCAAAAGCATTTCCTGCTGATTCAACTTGTCATTAACAGGGTAAGCAGTTTAATATAGGCTACTCTGAAACTATGAATATTTCACTAATTTTATCAAGGCTACATTTTTATTTTATTTCACAAACCAACACAATCTCATGGCAATTAGTGTTTTGGTGCATATAGTGGACTTGTTTTAAAGCATGTCACCTCAATTGTTATTCGTTATTCTTGTTTAAAGATAACTAATTATACAAATTATAGCAAACGAAATTCGTTTCTAAGAAAAATATACAAATGATATTTTTGTTTGTGCTTGTATCACAAATCTCAGGTATATATTTGCTCATTTTTTAAATATGTCTTTATTTTAAAGATTATGTCTTGAGCATCTGATTTTTCCTTGCTGCTGCTTATGTCCTTTCATTTTCTGCGTCTTACTCATGGCAAAGGACAGTAAGAAACCCAGGGGAGGAAAATATACATTAAGATTTCAAAAAAAATATCTTGATATTAAAAATTAATCATAAGTTTGATCCAATCCATGTTGTAACGAATGCCTTTAAATAATGTAGTTATTAGTTGTCTGCAAGCATCAGTGTTTATTGAGATTAAAATAAGATTAAAAAAGTGAAATTGAGATAAGAAATATTTGTTATAGAACACTTGTGACTGCTTTGGGAAATAATGCTTGTTGTAGACGTCACAGAATGACTAATCGTGAAAGAAAATGTTGACTAGCACTATTGTTACCAATGACAAGTCAAAATTTATCAAGACAAAAATCACATAATCTGACATAATGACTTTCGTAATCGACAATAAAAAGTGTGTGCTCTGACTGGGGCTTTAGTATTCTTCAATTTGTGTCATATATAAAAGATTCCTTTATAACAGTACATTGGCTTACGTCATCATAGCACTCACCTTCCTCCATCCTAGCACTAGCAATTAGCATCTGACGCAGATGCTTGAGCAAACCAGGCCAGTTAAACACACTATAGGCCAGTGACGTGCTAGACATTTGAGGAATGTTACACAAGCTGAGCAGTTTGTACTCTGGGTGACACACCAAGGAGGTAAGCAATTCCCCTGTACACAGCGGATAAACACAACTGAATAAGTGTCATTTCAGTGAATTGACTGTCTGTTATTGATGAAAAATTAGTCATTTGTACCTATGGGGTTCCTGCTGTAATAGTCGGGTGAATGAGCGGTGTAAACGGGCTGAAGGACGCTGGCCAGTTGGTGAGAGATAACTTTATTTATGTCACTGATGGAGATGTGCTTGATGTTCATCAGCTGGCTGCAGATTTTGTGCACCGTGTCATTCTCATGAACCAGAATAGCATCAGAGAGCTGGTAGAGATGGGACAGAGTCAGAACAGAGTTGTAGTTTTGCACAATCACCTGTAAAAGAGTATAAAAACAGTTATTAGAGTGAAATTTAAAAAATAATGAACCTTTTATTTAATTATAGTTCAAAACATTTGATATAAGAAATATTATCTTTACATTTCTGTTGGTTTACTATGGCTTTTAAAACTGCAAGACAACACAGGTGAATAAAGTAAATCTAAAATATTTCAATAATAAAAATCTGTGTACTTTACCAGCTGATTAATCACAGTGATTTTTTTTGTATTTTTGAAAAAGCTAAACAAGAAAATGTAATGCACACTTCTGAAGTTTGTTTTTCTATTACATAGTTTAAGGAAGGACCCACTAAAAATGTGTGCATGTGTATACAAATTCTGACTTAAAGTTACTTTTATTCTACCAACCAGTTTTTTTGGGAAATGGAAATGACTCAGGCTTCTCCCTAAAGATAATAAGATGATGTACTAGAGGTATCATTGTTGAAAAAAAATATTTCTCAGCTTTTATTTACATTTGAACAAAAACTAATGTAATATTTGGCACTGAAGGCAAAATAAACATAGCTTTACCCTCATTTAGATTTTTGTCTTCACAAAAGTTATCATTAACATAATTTTATTATTAATCATATTTATTTCAAATCACTTTTGTCAAACATAATTTGATGCAAACACCAAAATAGTATGCCTCGTCTTGTAAAGTGTGTAAATGTGTCTGGGTCAGTGTAAAATGTGGCATAATCAAATGCAATAATTTCATTTTGTTGACATAATATTCATTGATTCATTTATTTTCTTTTTTGGCTTAGTCCCTTTATTAATCTGGGGTCGCCACAGCGTAATGAACCGCCTGTTGACAATGATTAAAGGTTATTACAGAGCAGGGGTTTGAATATCTATTTTTATCACTTCATGATTGAGAAAAGCTTATTGAAAATGAGTTTAATATTATAAAAATGTCAGGCAGATGCTTTATGAACAAATATTTAGAATATAACTGTACAATAGATTTTACATTGGCCAAATTAGACCAATCTAAAGTGTGTAATAAAAAAACCTTTTGGGTATCCCCCACCCAGTAGTCTAATATTTAGACATTTGATTTAAAATATCTCTAAAACTGTCATATTTGTGTAACAAAGTATTTTCTTTAAAATTTCAATATTATACATAATTTAAAGCAGAAAAAAAATTATACTAAAATAAAAAAATAAATAAATCAACACAGGCTCATTCTGAAAACGCACCGCTATGTATATTTCTGGAGAGTGCCAAATACATGCTAGGAGCTAATTTTTTTTTTAGCAGTTTTTGTTTTTTTGCGAATCCACCAGAGGCCGCTGTGTACGTTTTTTTCAGATCACAAATTTCACTGGCGAGTGCCATTCACACCTGCTGTTCTCATGTAAATCTACTAGAGGCCACTGACTGACCAATCAACAGACCCACCCTTCTCCTTCCCTAAAGCCAACCAATAGTGTTTTCAAAAGCACAGATTGACCCAGCCACCCACTTCCCTAATCCAACCGACAGTTTTAAAAAGCAATCCAGAAAAAGTCCTCACCTGATTTTTATCACGTTTTCAGGTTTTACCACATTCTCACCCTGTTATTTACTTGTTTTTGTCTTACCTGCGTCTCAAGTCTGCTGATGTACATAGTAAGCTACATAACAAACTGGTAACATCGGTTACCAGTGAATTATGTATAATTTATGTTGCATTATATCATGCAAATACATGATCGTGTTATTGTAAATGTGCAGATAAATAATGTATGTGTGTTAACTGTTCACTAACAAAATATTGAATGTATCCTTGGCCACATTATTTTTCAGTCTTTTTTTTTATTGCGTACCCATCATATAAACCCCCAAAATAATTGAGTTAAAATAAGTTCTAAGTCTCCAAGTATACATGTTTAAAGACTTTGCTGGATATGACAAAAGGTGACTAAATAAACAAGTTAAACAAGAATTGAGCTTAATTTTACAATAAATGTTTGGATTAATTGAGATTAAAAAAAATACATAGACTGCCCTAATTTAAATGCAAAAAAAAGCCCACTACCTCACCAGCTCCATACGGCCAGGTCACTTGATTTAAGATGAAGGACTGTGGGTAAAGATCCCTCAGACGTTGAGTGATGTAGGTGCCCACACCAGAGCCAGTGCCGCCTGCAACACTCATCATGGTGAAGATCCCGGCCAGACGATCACAGCGCTCCACCTCCATCCGCACTAGATCCTCCACATCCTCCTTGTGACGAGGACCATGAACACAGAACCTGCAGAAAACTACATTAAGCTCAGACATCATCACAAACACATCAAACACTCAAGAGCAGATCCTCTTACCCATTAGCCCAGTTGTTTCCAGAGCCCTGCTTCTGGGAGAAATGTGCTTTGTCTCCATATCTCCATCTTCCAGATTTTGAAGCCTTGGCTAGGGCCTGTGAGATAACTTTGGGCTCCATATCAACAAGTACTGACCGTGCCACGAGCTCTGAAAGACATAAAATGACCTTGTTATGAAAATTAATCATGGTTTTACTTTAAAACAGTATTTAAACAGCGTTTGGGGAAAGTTACTTTTGAAAGTAATTCATTACAATAATGAGTTACTCCCCCCCTCAAAAAAGTAACTAGTTAAATTACTTAAGTAATGTGTTACGTTATTTTTCAGTTACTTTTACGTTTTTTCTTTCTTTTTTATATAGAATAGTACTGTCTTTTTAAAACGAGGATGCAATGTATAACCTACACCTTCATTTACCTCTAAAACATCATATACATCTGTATACAAAACTAAATATTTTAGGATAATTTTATCTGAGAACTTCCTGAGCCCAGAGCTATACATGTCATATAAAGAGACTAATGAAAGTTTAAAGCAATGTGTTTGCTACTGTTGTCCTATTTGTCTTAAGTAAAATCACTGTCTGTTGAGGCAATCCTCTTTTCCTTTTCTTCAATGCGATCAAATTAATGAACACATTCCCTCATTGACTGTGTGATTCATTGTGACTAAAAAGTAACTCACAATACATTTTTAGAAAACTCAAATATTACATTTTTGTAATGTGTTACTTTGCTGGTTACTTAGAAAAGTAATATTATTACGTAACTCACGTTACTTGCGTTACCCCCATTTAAACCAACCACCAATCAACCATGCTACCGTTTCATATAGTTTAACCATGGCGTTTGTAGTAACGTTACGTTAAAACTGTTATTACAAATGCTACTCCAAAAACAATGGTTATTACAGTTTCACTATACTAAAACCACAAGAAGCTAATAAATATCAAATAACGTTATTAGAGATGTGTTAGCAAACATAAGTGTGCTAAACATACCTCCAGCGGAGTTTTGATAGAAGAATCTCTCGTCGCTGCATTGCTTGTACTTCTTTCTGTTTGGTCCATTAGAATCATCGCTTATGACACTGAATAGCTCGTGTCCTATTTGGTTTCCACACTGACCTAACTGTAAGCTTACAACCGACATATCTCAGCAATTAAACATCGCGACAGCATAGCATTGTGTATAAAGTTAATATAACGTTAAGTTAAACTAGGTTTAACTTAAATTAACGAGGTGACATTAATGTAAGGAGAGACAGAACAACCCTAAGACATAAACAATATCAAATAACTTTACGTTTCTAACGTTACTGCTTCAGACTTTTATGAAGTAGAAGCTGAACATCTGACAGTAGTGTTTACGGTTGAAGGCGGGTGAAGGTTTGTAAGCATCGGTACTGATGCATGATGGGACATTGAGTAAAAAAGTACCACCAGCAGATGGCGCACAAAACACATTTAGATTTCTGCGACTCACTTGTTCTGCTTTTGTATTCATGTACAAATCACATTCAAAATGAAAGAAATATTCTTTATTTCTACATTTTCTTTATTTTAATGTTATTCCTTCTTTTTTACTTTATTTATATTGCTTTTATTTTGTAAGACATCGTAGTTAAAATACGTTTTTGGATTATTTCTAGCCTTTATGGGTCTATTTATTCTCCAATTGTACAACTTTGAAATTTTCTGTATTCTTAGAGAAATAAAGCATATTTTTACATTTTGATTAGAAAAAATCTATTGATTTAGCCTCTATAATCCCCATATGTAATCATCTATTTGTAGTTAAATAATAACATATATATTTTTACAGAAATAACCTTTAATTGTATATTTTTATCTACTGTTCTATTAATTATTAAATATTTTAAACATAAATTTAAGTTTGTGTAACAAACAGTACTTTTATTATTTAATCAAAAGTGTAATTATATATATTAATATATATATAAATAATATATATTTATAATATATATATAAACTACACATTTCAAGCAAACAATAGATAGATAGATAGATAGATAGATAGATAGATAGATAGATAGATAGATAGATAGATAGATAGATAGATAGATAGATAGATAGATAGATAGATAGATAGATAATATTAAAAGTAATTGATAATAATTTATATTATATATATTTATTATGTCATAATATACTGCTCCAATCTTTAAAAGTTACACACCCCGTCAGATAATAAAGGCCGTTTGTAAGCGGAGCGCGAGTATTTTCCCGCATTCCTCCGCGCGGGGGTGTCTGTCAGTCAGTTCAGTTCGCGTCCATGCCGGTCATGGCGACGGTGCGTTCATGTCCATGAGGCGGGAAGCGCGAGACCCACACGCGGTTTGAAGTGATTCCAGGCGCGAAACCAACGATGGCTGGCGTTTTCGACATCGATCTGGACCAGCCAGAGGAGAATGTGTCCGATGACGAGCTGGAGGAGGTAAGAGACGGCTGATTTTAGAGTAAACTGCACGCGGGAATGCTTCTCCACCCCGGGCAGGCAGAGCGCAGGCCTGAGGCCCAGGCAGTGGCTACTGCTACTGTGTGTTATGCTAACATGCTAACAGACCACCGTACAGTGTGTTTATTGTACTGAGTAACGGCGATATTATGCCTGTCAGCACATGTGACAGAGATATAACAGTTTTAGTAGCGGAAACGTGCTTTCTGTGTACTAGTATAAGATAGGAGGTGTAGATAATAGGGTTGTGTGCAAGCTGACTACTTGGCAGTGTTACAGTATAGTAGTACAGTAGCGTTACAGTTGTGGCAATTTAAAGGGCTGGACGTATTGGTTGCCTTTCTTGTACTACATGGCAATGCAGTTTGCATTAGATGTATATTAAATTCCTCGTGCATATTGCTTTAAATGATAACATGACATTGATAGTGAGTCTTTTAATATTTGCAAGGATCAGTCATTTAGGTTTGCAGCACCATAGATGGTGCATGTCACCGTATGGGATCTCTGGGAATAGTATTGCGAAATCTGAGCCCTTACGCTTTCGTGTTCAGACTGGAAGAGCTGCCAACTGTTGCCTCGTAACGTTATCTGCTCGTGCATTGATCATCTCCCCACCCAACAGAGCTGTTGCAGAGAATTGAGCTTTTATTGATCCTGCATTTAACTCCTCTTTTCTGCAGGCTCAGATCAATGAGCTCATGGACCAGTGCAGTGGCTTTGAGTTGTAAGTATGTTGTTTAATAAACATTTAGTATGTTTCTGATTTAAGTAACCACAAATGTCCAAATAGAAAATCAGAAATTTCAAATATGTTTGTTTTCCAGTATCAGTTCTGATGATAACCACCAACAATGCCTATTTTTGAATACTTATAATAATTAGTTTGACAGTTTGTTTGGAAATGTTGTTTTTAATAATAAAAAACAAACTAAAATTGTTCACATAACAAGGCCTGAGCAGATTTTTTAACTAAAATGATATTCATGGATAAGTCGGTAATCAGAAACAATATTCATTCTTTTATGTTATTATTTACACATGTATGCATACAGTATATAAACTACTACTTGCATAATGACAATTTCTCTGTATTTACATATGAATCAACCTCTAGTATCCATTCCTATACACCCACATAAAAATAATTGCATACGTGTAATTAATTTTGTGTGTGAATGAGCGTGTATGGACGTCGATCCCAGTGTTGCAGCTGGAAGGGCATCCGCTGTGTAAAACATATATTGGATAAGTTGGCGGTTCATTCCGCTGTGGCGACCCCTGATGAATAAAAGGACTAAGCCAAAAAAAATGAATGAATAAATGAATGAATGAATAATGAATTTTGCATTTAGTGTTCAAAAGTAAAACAAGAAAAGCTCAATTTATTTTGTATTGAAATGGGGTATATTCACAGACTTTTAATTTCAGCCAGCCAGCCTCAGCACTTCAGTTGAACTGTTTTTTCATTATGAAATTGCCATGTCTGAGGTCTGATTTCTTTTTAAAAATCTGTGATTTTCACTGCCTGATAGATATACAATATGAAGTAGGTCTCAGGCCAGACAAGAAGCACTGTGTTTAATTCCATCCACCTTATGAAACCTAATGAAACCTTATGAAATTATTTTCAATGAAATTGAAAATGATCACATAAAGCTTTCACTCTAAGTTCATCATTGGCTGAAAAACAGTAGCTGTGCATATACCCCATTGTTGAGGTTATGTCCCAGATTTATCTATTAACAATTACTGAACTTTACTTATAAAAGTAATTAAAAGTTAGGGACAAAGTGATGTTTTGGTATTTTTATTGTAATGAAACCAAAGCTATTTGCATTATGGGATTTGTGTGTGTAAACAGTTTTAACAACTGAATTTGACCATTTAAAAAAAGATCCATGTTGGAAAAACTTTGTTACTTTAATTTTCCTTTATTGAAATTTGTTTATGAACAGTTCTGGTACATGAACTAATTACTGAACTTGACTTGTAAAAATAATTACAAAATTACAAATTGAATGTACATTTTGAATCAGAACCTGTTAATAAAGTATGTATGACTCTTTGCTATTGACCTTATTCTTCAATGCGGACGTGCGCTTGTTTTTGTAGTTGTTTTAGAAATTCTGATCCAGTTGCCTATGAGAGAAATGACTAGGAATAATAAGTGACTGAAAACAGTCAAATTACTTGCTCCACAAAGTGTTTGCATCATTATACTGACAAAGTAGAATAATAGAATAATAAAATATCAGTTTGCAACGTCAAGCAGTAAAACAAGCTGTTTTTAACATCCAAAACTGAGTGGAATTAAACGAGACCGGAAGTCCCCAGCCAAAATGATTCAAATGGCAGCGCCCGCTCGCCCAGAGAATAAGGTGAATAGACCATTTTGAGGGATGTAAACAAAAACAGTGTTCCCAACGTATGTCCTATTTTACATTTTTAGAGAAGAATCCAAAAACAGCCACATATTAAATAATGTTATGACAGCTGTTTTAACTTTAAGTTATGATTGAATTGCTTATTCTTACAATTAGAAAATAGTTTGATAACAAGGAAATGTTCATGGGCCAATGACATGACCATATTGAAATGGTCTATATCATTCAGGAAATATTGCAGGTTTAAAAGGTTAAATGTACAAAATGTTCACAAGAATGCACAAGTGTAAATAAAAAAACCCCCACTCATGACAAAAAATGGACTTGGGAGCAATAAACAGATTCACGAATTTGATGCTGATTCTGAATGATGCACATGATCAATAGTTTTGTGGTTTGTTGTTATTACAGTAACATGGATGACTGTGAGAAGATTGAGATATCAGAGGACAATGTGAACCAAGGCACAGAGAACATCCGTCCGGAGTGCTTTGAGCTTCTCCGTGTTTTAGGGAAAGGAGGTTATGGAAAGGTAATATTATTATCATTATTATTTTTTTTTTTTGTAGGACATGTCAAGGCAATTTGTTTTTACATTGTTGAATGTTATAAGATATTTTTTTCTTCTTTCAATTCAGAAGTTTATTTAAAGGTGCTGTATGTAGGATTTTGACTCTTCTAAAGCATAAAAATAAAATATGTTTGTAGATATTTAAGAAACAGGGCAAGTGAACATTCTTGTTTATCTGAAAAACAATGCTGAAATCAGCTATTCTGCTTTGAAAATGTGAGTTATGTGCCGGAATGTCTGTTTTTGTTTTGGTCTCTTTAACCCCCCCATTGCCACTTTAGGCAATTATATTTCAGCACCCCGGGTTGCCTTGATGGAAAACGCGTATTTCATTCCTTCATTCATAAAGGCTCTCTAAGCATGCGCTAGTGACCGAAATGCGACCTCCAGTGCACAGTAGCAGACTCCGAAATCAGACGCAGATTCAGAGTTTTTACATAAGGTTATTAATTAGCAAATAATATAAATATTTCAAGCAATAATCATTAGGTGAGCAGGTTACATTGTAACCCTGTGTCCTAACAAAATGCTACATGAGAAGATTTGCAGCGATAAGCAATTTGGCTGTTTGCACAAGATGAAACACGACAGAAATTTAAATACAGGCATTCAGAAGCATAGAATAGTGCACTCATTCATGAAATGGTAAGATTTACAATTTAATTATTACATATTAAGCTTTAACATTATTAAATGTGCATGCTGAATCACTGATATGTGTTGGTTGGCATTATTTCACAGGTCTAAAGTTCAATTAAAAATATATATTTTCAAGATCTGAGAAACTATCTGCTTCTGCTTTAAGTATATAGCAATAAATGTCATATAAAATGGCATATAAATTTGAGTTGTTGGTTAGAACAAAACTGTTTTTAATATGGAGAATATTCCTTCTATCACATGCTCTTGTTTTTATTTAGAACACGGTTTAAATCAGCCTTTAGGCTCGATCGTTAGACTCACTCTG